TATCTTCCACCAAATCCCTGGTGAAAAATGTTTTCCTTTTCAGATATTTGGAAAGAACGATAAAACCATACTAAAGCACGAGGCAGAGATTTATTCCATGGTATTTGTTATTTTGGGTGCTATTTCTTTTGTTGGTTTCTTCATGCAGGTAAGCTTCCATAAATAAAACAAGTTTGAACATGGTTATATTTTGATGTCATTCTTTGTATTTGTTAAAGGCATAATAACTAAATGTTAAAAAGGAATTGCAAATTGAGTTAAGTATAAATGCAGATCTTCTTTCCTCCCCCTCACCTCCAGGGATTGTTTTACGGCCGAGCAGGCGAAATGTTAACAATGAGATTAAGACACTTGGCATTTAAAACCATGTTATACCAGGTCAGTGTTGCATTGAATTCCTCTTATTTTGTTTAAAATTTGCCTTAAAATATTCTAACTTGTAGTTTTTTCTCAAGTCAATTTCTTGGCATAGTCGTTCCTCTGATCATTTAAAAGCATTCTTTTTGTTTTCTGAGCAGAAAAAAATATCTGCTGTCAGGAGTTTTACAGTATATTTTTCTACTAGAAGCAAGTTCAAATTGTTATGTTCTAAAATACAACTTAAAGCTTTAAAACAAGAGTTGAAGGCCCACTCCTTGCATTTATCTCAGCACATCTTTCTTTTAATGCATAATATAGTGGTTCAGGATCAAAGTGGAAGACCACATAAAAACTGAAAAGTGTTAAGAGCAACAATATCTTGTGAATATATTTGAAGAAGGGTTATTCATTTCTCTCTTGTCCTCACCCATGTGCACAGCTTAACTTTTTCCACTCTGGACTTTGCAGAGCAGCCAGTTCCTCTGCCCCATAGGAAAAGTCCTGAATGCAGATAGCATCAGTCTAGCTGGCAGGACCATCTGCCCCACACCAACGATCAATCACACCTGCGAAAGAACCAAAAATAGGTGGATCAAGTACTAATCTTGAGAAGTGAGTCTTGGGGGCAAATGGCAGGCATGTCTCTGACTGGCACCTCTAAAATTCTTTCCTGAAAGCTGAGGTGGATTGGGTTACCCTGAAAGCTAGTAATCATTTAGAGCCCTTTGCCTCACTTTCTGTCACCAAAGCTCACCCGTGTAGGAGCAAATAGCTTCCTGCCAGGGTAATTTCTTTTCAGAAATAGAGTTACTGTCACTCCGGCTGAGTCAGAAGCAGTTCTTAAATCTTGTGACTTTTAAGAGTAATACTTTGAAGACTGGCACGTAATGAAACTCCTCTGCTTTGTACTCTTAAGGAACTACAATGATACAAAATGCAGTAGGAAGTTAGTAACTCAGCAAGTCACTGTTCTGAACGGTTGGTGAGCTTACACCCTCTGCTCAAAAGCGTCAAGTCTCTGATCTTGCTTCCACCTTTGCAGACACTCCTTAATCTGGGGAAAGAATGTACATGAAGGATCGTGAAACAACTTAATGCCTGCACGTGTTTCTCCTGTCAAAATTGTACTTTTTTAATTTTATCTTATTTTTTCAATACCTTATGTTTTTTACCTCAAATCTTTTATGCAATAAGGTGAGATTTAAATTAACTTATATATATATATATATGTTGTTGTTGTTGTTATGTGCCGTCGAGTCGGACCCGACTCATAGAGACCCCTCCTTGGGTTTCCGAGGCAGTATCACTACGGAAGTAGGAATACCCAACCTTCTATGTATATATGTATATATATGTATATATGTATGTATATATATATATCATACTTGCTGACAATTTCTACTTTTTCTTTTTTTTTCATTAATTTATGGTTGTTTTCCCCTGTTAAAGGAAAATTATTTAAAATTTCCTGGAATTTTTGAAAATGTTTTCTAAGCATCTGAATGCTTTATACAGAAGAGCATAAGTTTTCATTTTTCCAGGCATTACGTTTAACTTTCCCCTCTGTTCACAGACTGCTCAAAGCTCAGAGCCAGTTTGACCAGTAGAACTGGTGTTAATCCAATATCTTAATGGTTAATACTAGACATTAATCCTCTGCCTAGCATTAACCATGTGAGTCCCAAGACAGTGATATTCTTGTTTAAAGTAGCCTCTAACCAAAAGAATGTTTCAATCCTTACACTATGTCTGGCCCTCTAAAAAGCAGGCACATACTTATTAAGACATATACTCAGAAATCATAGGCTATTTAACGAATGTTATTAAATCGCCCATAAATTCAAATCAGTCTTTTTCAGTATCTTTTGTTTTCATTCTTATCCTCCAGCATTCTTTTTCTTTTTACTTGTCTTTGTTTTTTAAAATTGAAAGAAAAGAAAAGAGTAGTACATTTAGCCATCACAATTATACTTTTGCCTGTAGTAAGGAAAGCTCCTAATGTGGGTTTAACCTAACTCTTACTACCTGATTTTTGTCCTGAGATAAGACTTTTTATGGCTTAGAAAGCATGCTGAGGCTTGCAGTGCTTTTTATAATCATTCTGAAACCTCTTTTGAAGTAGAGGTATTTATGAAATCAGGTGTGGTCTTTTTATAGGTACAAAATCTGAACTTTATTTGATTACTTGTGATCCTTCAAGATTTAGGTTTATTCCAAGTGAAAAGAATGTTCTAATTGTTGCTGAAAATAAAGTAAAACCTGTGAGAGCCGGAACTCAATAGGATGGCCGTGTTATTCTGTGTCTCAATAGTTGACAGGGTACAGTATTACCACTTTTCTATCACTCTCTCTTAGTGGAAAATATCTGAGTTTTTCTTCTCTAATAGGTTTCCACCTTACACATGTCTCAGCTTTTGCAGGTTCTACTGTAATTCATTGTTCATTGTGTTTCAAAGTTAAATTTATATTTGGAGATATATGGAGACTGCAGTGTGGTGCTTTGTGTGGTGCTGTGCTGCTGGAAGCTATGCTGCCGGTCTTTTAAATACCAGCAGGGTCCCCCATGGTAGACAGGTTTCAGTGGAGCTTCCAGACTGAGACAGACTGGGGAAGGATGAGGCCATCCACTTCAGAAAAAATTGTCCACTGAAAACCTTACGAATACCAGTGAAACACTGTCTGAAATATTACTGGAAAACTTTATAAATAGCCATGAAACATTGTCTGTTACAGTGCCCAAAATGAGCCCTTCAGATTGGAAGGCACTCAAAATACAACTGGGGAAGAGGTGCCTTCTCAAAGTAGAACTTAATGACTTGGATGGAGTATAGCATTCTGGACCTTCATTTGCTGATGTGGCATGCCTCAAAATAAGAAGAAACAGCTGCAAACATTTATCAATTATTAGGATGTAGAGTGTAAGAAATGTAAATCTAGAAAAATTGGAAGTTGTCAAAAATGAAATGGAATGGATAAAGATCAATATCCTAGGCATTAATGAGCTGAAGTAGACTAATATTTTTAATCAGACAATCATATGGTGGGAATGACACATTGAAGAGAAATGACCTCACTAGTCATCATCAGAAAGAACATTTCTTATATTTGAAGTATAATGCTGTCAGTGATAAGATAATATTCATATATCTATAAGGAAGACCAGTTAATACTACTGTTGTTCAAATTTATGCACCAACCACTAAAGTCAAAGATGAGGATACTGAAGTTTTTTAGCAACTTCTGTGGTCTGAAATTGACCAAACATGCAATCAAAATGCATTGATAATTATTGGTGATTGGAATGCAAAGTTAGAAACAAAGAAGAAGCATACGTAGCTGGGAAATATGGCATTGGTGATAGAAATGACACTGGAGATCACACGACAGAATTTTACAAGACCAATGATTTATTCATTGCAAATACCTTTTTTCAACAATATAAACAGTGACTATACAGGTGGACCTTGCCAGATGTAATATATAGGAATCATATGGGCTACACCTATGGAAAGAGGCAATGGAGTTCAGTATCATCAATCAGAACAAGGTCAGGAGCTGACTGTGGAATAGACCATCAATTAGTCATATGCAAGTTCAAGTAGAAGCTGAAGAAAATTAAAACAAGGCCACAAGAGCCAAAATATGACCTTGATTATGTCCCGCTTAAATTTAGACACCCTCTGAAGAGTAGATTTGATGTATTAAACACAAATGACCAAAGATCAGACAAGTTGTGAGATGGCATTTCGAACATCACACATGAGGAAAGCAAAAGGCCATTAAAAAGACAGAAAAGGACGAAAAGACCAAAATGGATGTCTGAAGAGACCCTGAAACTTGCTCTTGGATGGAGAGTTGTTGTTGTTGTTGTTGTGAGCCGTCGAGTCGGCCCCGACTCATAGCGACCCCTCCTTGGGTTTCCGAGGCAGTATCACTACGGAAGTAGGATTGCCCAACCTTCCTTCCAAGGAGTGGCTGGTGGGTTTGAACCGCCAGCCATCTGGTTAGCAGGCAAGTGTCTTAGCCACTATGCTACCAGAGCTCCCGGATGGAGAGTAGCTAAAGCAAATGGAAGAACTGATGAAATAAAAGAGCTGAACAGAAGATTTCAAAGGGCAGCTCTAGAAGACAAAGTAAAGTGTTATACTGAAATGTGAAAAGACCTGGAATTAGAAAAACAAAAGGGAAGGACATGCTCAACATTTCTCAAACCAAAAGAACTGAAGAAAAAATTCAAGCCTTGATTTGCAATATTGAAGGATTCTATGGGCAAGATATTGAATGCTACAGGAAGTATCAAAAGAAGATGGAAGGAATGCAGAGTCACTGTACCAAAAAGAATTGGTTGATGTTGAACCATTTCACAAAGTAGCATATGATCAAGAACCAAAGATACTGAATGAAGAAGTCCAAGCTGCACTGAAGGAATGGTGAAAAACAAGGCTCCAGGAATAGACCAAATACCCATTGAGATGTTTCAACAAACGGATACAACACTGGAGACAGTTATTTGTTGTGGTTGTTATGTGCTGTGAAGTCAGCCCCAACTCATAGTGACCCCTTCGTGGGTCTCCGAGGTGATATCGCTACAGAAGTAGATTGCTCAACCTTCAAATTGGAAAACAGCTACCTGGCCAACTGACTGAAAGTGATCCATATTTTTACCTATTCCAAAGAAGGTGATCCAACAGAATGTGGAAATTATCAAATATCAGTAATATCACATGAAAGTAATATTTTGTTGAAGATAATTCAAAAATGCTTGCAGCAGATATTGACAGGGAACTGCCATAATAATTTCAAGCTGGATTCAGAAGGGGGAATGAAATGAATATCATTGCTTATTTCAAATGGATCTTGGCTGAAAGTGAAGGAAACCAGAAGGCTGTTTACCTGTATTTTATTGATTGTGCAAAGACATTCAACTCTGTGGCTCATAATAAATCATGGATAACATTGTGAAGAATGAGAATTCCAAGACACTTAATTGTACTCATGAGGAACTTGTATATAGACCAAGAGGCAGTTGTTCAAACACAACAAAGGGATACTGAATATTTTTAAATCAGGAAAGGTTGTATTCTTTCACCATACCTATTCAATCTGTATGCTGAACAAATAATACCAGAAACTAGACAATATGAAGATGAACATGGCATCATGATTGGAGAAACACTCATCAACAAAGTGTGATATGCAGATGGCACAACCTTGCTTACTCAAAGTGAAGAGAACTTAAAGCACTTACTGATGAAAATCAAATTATAGCCTTCAGTATGAATTACACATCAACATAAGAAAACAAAAGTCCTCACAACTGGCCCATTAAACAACATCATGATAAATGGAGAAAAGACTAACCTTGGCAGCATTTCATTTTACTGGGATCCACTATTAGTGCCCACAGAAGCAGCAGTCAAGAAATCAGATGATGTTTTGCAATAGGCAAATACATTACAAAAGACCTCTTTAGAAAGTTAAATAGCAAAGATGTCACTTTGAAGACTAAGATACGCCTGATGCAAGCCATGGTATTTTCAATCGCTTCATCTGTGTGTGAATGCTAGAGACTGAAGGAAGACCAAAGAAGAATTGATGTATTAGAATTGTAGTGTTGGTAAAGACTACTGAAAATAGCATGGACTGCCAGAAGAACAAACAGATCTGTTTTGGAAATATAGCCAGAATCCTCCTTAGAAGCCATAATGGCCAGACTTCGTCTCACCTACTTTGGTCATGTTGACAGAAGGGACCAGTCCCTTGCAGAAGGATATCATGCTTGATTAAGTAGAGTCATTGACAAAGGGGAAGACCTTTATGGAGATGCATTGGCACAGTGGCTGCGGCCTTGGGCTCAAGCATAGCAAATATTGTGAAGATGGTGCAGGACGAGGCAGGGTTTCGATCTGTTTGTACATCAGGTCGCTATGAGTTGGAGCCCACTTCACTGGACCTAACGAAAACAATGCACAAAGATTGAATTTTTGAGCAGGTAAGAAGTTTCTTTTCACTCAATTTCTTCTAAATTAAATTGATTAGGGCTTTTGTGAGAGTCTTTTTGTTGTAAAGAATGAGCACTGACAGTCATCAATAGGGGCCTAAAAAGTACCTTACCTGCTTTCAAAAGGAAATGAAATGGGAAGTCTGTAAACAAGCAAACAAAAAAATAATAATAAGTTACGAAATTCAGTCAGATGGCTGGCAGAACTGGGAAAGTGGTTAAAAACTCTGGCGTCTGGCTCCCTAGTGCTGTCCACTGCACTTGCCAGCTGTTTGGCCTTGGGCGAGTTGCTTAATCTCTCTGTACTTTGTTTCCTTACTTGCAAAAAGAGGATAATCATAGTACCTATCCCATAGAGCTGTTGTGAGGATTAAATGAGAAAATATATGTCAAGCACTTAGCACGATGTCTGGAACATAATAAAAATGACAAATTAAAATTTTAAAAAAAAAGTCAGAATCTAGTCAATTCCGACCCATGGCTACTGCCTACAGATATGTCTGAGTGGAACTGTGCCACTTATATTTTCAGGAACCGTGGCCATTGGGAAGGGGATCACCAGGCCCCTTCTTCCCTAGTGCCTCTGAATGGGTTCAAACTACCAACCTTTCAGTTAGTAGCCCAGTGTTTAACCATTTACCCAGGGACTCCTGCCACATAATAATCACCTAATACATGTCAGCTTTTTTTTTCTAGTAGAATTGTTGGCCAAAAGAAAATATTTACTAGTACTAAAATCCTGATAGCCTTAATTGTAACCTTTAACCATCAAGAAGAAAGGAAGAAAGCTAATTTTTACTCAACATGGTTTATGTTTCAGAAACTCTGCCAAGTTTTTTATCATACAGTGCCTATGCTAGAAAACAAACTCTATAGGGCACAATTGCTGACTTCTTGAAAAATAAATCTTGACGACTTATTAATTGAACATTGGGTAATTATTAAGACTGGCTGCATATGTCTTCTATGCATTCTGTTTTAAAACAGGTTACCATAGAACCAAGAATGTTGTATTCAATAATAAATTCTTTTTTCTTTTCTTTTTCATTTTTTTACTTTATATTATATCTAAAATTTCTTCATCCACTCCACTAGAAACAATTAGCAAATGTATGATATGTCTTAACTGGTTAGATTATACCATAAAATGCAGATCATGCCTTCTAGTTCGAGTACCACCGTTTTTACCATTTTTATAGTTGCTGCTGTGTGTGTACGTTATGATAGGCTCTGGTTACTATTGTGTTTGCAAAGCAGCCACTGTACAGTGCAAATCATGATTTCTACAGGACGCCTTTTGGGCATGTAACACCCAAAGCTCATTGAGACCCTTCCTAACACAGTGGCTACAGAAGAGTGCTCTTATGTTGAGTTTGTACCAAACCTGTCTCTTGCCATATTCCTCCAAGGATGTATAGCCCTCAGTCTGTTATGTCTTTGTTTTCTTAATTCATGAGGAATGTGTAACGTGGGCCTCTGGGCCTTACCTTGTTGTAGTAAGCTGACTGTTCTTTGGCTTTTTACTCACAAAAATAAACCATTTTTCAGTGACATTCTCTATAGAATTTTAATCTACTAGAGATACAAGTGGTTGAGTGAGTGGAAGGAAGCATTAAATAGCTCATAAGAGGAAATCAGAATTCCTCAAGTGGAGGAGTGCTAAGAAGTGCTGGCTCCATTTGCTTTTGAAAATGAAATTGGTTATTACATTAGGCTTTTATTGCTTGTGCTTTTGACCTGTCTCCTTCTTCAGATTGCATGCTTCTTGGCTGCAAGGGTTTTACAGGCTTCTGCCTTTTTGGCTTCTCACAGTGATCAGTGCTTAGTTCCGGAAATATCCCTGGCTAACTGGCTCTCACAGGTGAGCATATGAGCCTCATGGGTTTGGCCTGAAGATCCCTTTCCAGTGCAGACGCCACCAAAGGGAGTTCAATGATCAATGTTTAGCTTTTGTGACATTCAGAATGTTGTAAGGTCTAGGAAGGAATATGAAGTGTCTGGCAAAATCTTGCTTTATGGATCCTAAAGACGATAGGATACACTTTTTTTTATAATCAGTTTAGGTAGAAAGATTTAAAAACCTTTCTAAATTGTGATGTGCATTGCCTTACTTTATAAACAGATTCTGCAGTTCACAATCTAGTCATTACTTTTTGGTTTGAAATGAACATTTTCAACATCTATTACTGTGTGATATAGTAATATGATAAGGTGTATAGTACTTCAGATTATATCTAAATATAAATTTATAAAATAAGAAACAAGTCATTTGACCCATAATATTTACAAGAATTTTGTATTTACAAGTATATAACAAGATAACTAGAGGACTGAAGAAGGTCCCAATTACTGGAGCTCTGGTGGTGTAGTGCCTAAGGCATTTGACTGCTAACCAGAAGGCTGGCAATTCAAACCCACCAGCCACTCCTCGGAAGGAAGATTGGGCAATTTACTTCCATAGTGATACCACCTTGGAAACTCAAGGAGGGGTTGTTGTAAGTTGGATCTGACTCGACAACAGTGAGTTGGTTTTTGATGTTTATTTACAAGAATTAAGTAGCAGTAAATAAGGATGACAGGTAAAGACCTTCTATCTGCTACTTCAAAATCGCATATTAGAGAAGAATCTTTTTGCTAATCAGATGTTAATTTCTCTTTTCTCTAGGATCTCTGTTGGTTTGATGATAAAGAAAACAACACAGGAGCCTTGACAACAATATTAGCCATAGATATAGCACAAATTCAAGGGGTATGTATTTTGTTCATATTATTAAGTTGTGTGTACATGTGGTGTGTGTGCGAGCACGCGTACACATGTGTCTGGGCATATATGTGTGCTATGCTGAGATGACCTGCATTGTTAAGCAGATCAGATAACTCTCACGGCTTTCAGGGAATTCTCAATGAAAGATATAAAGAAACATTTCTGTTCTGGATATTTGTAGCCAGAAATAAAGGAGAAGGTTTGGCATATGTAACAAGATAACTAGAGGACTGAAGAAGATACCAATAATGAATTAGAGAAATGAGCTCAGAATTCAGCAGCAAAAGAGGAGGTAACAAGAAAAATGTACAAACATAATGTAGAAGTTTAAATAACAGGATAAATCTGGTTGCCATGAGTCAATTCCAATTCATGGTGACCCCACAATGTGTCAGAGTAAAACTGTGCTCCATAAGGTTTTCAGTGGCTGATTTTTTTTGGAAGCAGAAAACCAGACATTTCTTGCAAGGTGGCTCTGGGTAGACTCAAACTACCAGCCTTTCAATTTGTGGCCGAGCAGGTTAACCATTTGCACCACCCAAAGACTCCCTTCCCCCAGAAAATAAGATCTTTTTTAAAATAATGTTTAACAATTTAGATTCATGTGTGCATTTGGTAATGATTCTGTGCTAGGTAATAGATCAAGTTGAACAGATGTGTGCAGTTAGGACCCACCACATTATCTATAAGCAAAATGGATTTGCATCATAGTCAAAATCAGTTAGAGGATAGCCAACAAAATGAATGTCAAAGAAGTGTGGGGATTAGGCATGTGTGGAAGAGATAAACAGTTTATTATTTTTCTTACAATTATTTTAATAAAATTGACCTTTATATAACAAATGGGATTTCAGTTCTGAGGAAAGGACTGCAGAACCAAAGCCAGAGAATATCTGCTTTCCCACTCTTAATTTAAATGAAGTAAAACCCTTGAAGTGTTAATTAAAATAAGAAATCCAGCAGATTTATGGCCTTTTCATTGTCCTTGTCATGCATGTGGGAGAAAAGGAAAATGTCAATGATATGTCTCTAAATGACAGATTTTATACAAGTATTTATTCTGTTTAGGAATCCTGAGATATTGATTACAGAATTATGACCAGAGCAGCAAATTATCTAAAACTCATTCAAACTGCATGTTTCTTTGGGAGGTTATTGCCATAGGACATGGCAACTATTCAAATTTTGGGAATCTTTACAAGAATTCTTTACTCAACATGTACGTCTGAGGGCACATTTCTATTAGCAGAAAATAGAACAATTTGGTTACAGTTGTGAATATTCATATGCATCTATATTGGCTTGGAAAAATAGTTTTATGGTGTAGAAAAAGCTTCAGGGGAAAAGAGCGTTTTTTTTCTTCTTAATCTCTTCCTGGCACTCTTTTTAATTTTGAAGACCAGCGTCTATAATTTTATTAGATAGTATTTAAATTTTTAAATAGACCTAATGAACTTGATTTTACTGCCATAAATGGGAAAACAAAGAATGATGGAATTTTATCTCATACACCTACTACTCACTTATTAACTATCTCATTATCTCCAACATTTTGCATTTTTTAAAAATCTATTATCCTACTATTTTGCACATTAACGACACATTTGGCACTGACGATTGCCAAGGTGCTACCAAGGTTTGAAGTGAGATTCATGCTAGTTGTGATGGTTAAGGTTATGTATCAACTAGACTAGGCCATGATTCTCAGTGGTTTGTGAGTGATGTAATGATGTAAAATTTGTCAGTTAGGTAATGATGTAATTTGTCAGTTAGGTAATGATGTAGTCATCTTCCATTTTGTGATCTGTATGGTCATCCCCAATTTTTGCATAATGCCAGTTTTTGTATAACAGCCTGTTCTTTGAAACCTAACCATGTTGATAAGCAAGGCATGGCTGTAATCAAATAATGAGAATAGCATTAAACATCCATACCACATTACACTTAACTGAATGACAACTTTCGAATTTAGAAATTCCAGAGCAGACTACTCTAGGGAGAGTTATCATAATTCCATTCAAATCCCCATTCTACAAAATTTGCTGCTCTTCTTATTGTGCTAATGATGTTCTTTTATTAACTATCATTCAAATTTCTTAGAATCCAATAAATCAGGCATTCTTGCCTACAGTTATGATGTGAGGCATTTTCTCTTTGAACAAAATTGCCCAATTTCCAGTTTCTACTGAAAAGCTGACATGATATTATTATTGATGTTCCTTACATCCATTGGTTGCTTTCTAACAAGTAGTGTTGTCTCTCATCGAAGAAATTGATGAGAATATTTGTCATCCTGACTCCTTATGAGCATCTGACTAATACTATTCGACCACTTGAGATTTTCGTTTGGAGTGGTAATCTTTGGTCTCATAATAACTTCTGGGTAAGTCAAACCATTTTCGTTGAAGGAAAAGTAGTAGCAGGAGAATAAATGGTTGAAATACTGACAGCCAATTTTAAAGTTGCTGCATTTAAAGAGTAAAGCAACCAAAGAAGGATTCAAAGAGAGACAGTGTCTATTAATATAACTCACTAAACCCTTGCTTTGCCATAGAAAGGTAGATTTACATCTAACTTGAATGAACACCCTCTCAATCAAAGGAAGAATTTCATATCAATCATATTTGTGTCCTACTTATTTTCTTATAAAGATGGTCTAGAAGAGAAATGAATCAGGAAATAATCATTTGAGGGTCATATTTTCTATCATTTCGACTTAAGTCACTTTTCATTGCAGTTTCTTCATCAATTTCAATTACATTTTACTTTATCAAATATATTTGGGTGAATGGTCACAAAAATAGCTCTTTAGTAATAATAAATATTATTTTGAAGTCCTTACTAATTACCCAAAAGATACACATCTGGCCGTCTTAAAAACTCTGATACTTTGAGAGTCTTGATAAAAACAAGTAAATAGAGTCATAGGATAACATGACTCCTGGAATAGTTGACTGAATCCAATTTAACTTACATTGTTTTAGCCCAAGGTAATGGCTTATTGCCAATACATCTGTCAGCAGGTTATTTTCTGTGTAATAGGCAGGTTTATTGAAGGCAAAAAGCCATTTTAGATTCTTTGGAAAGCTAGATTTCTGAACATTACAAGGTATTCTTTTTTCCTGTATATTTCATATTCCTTTTCATCAACCAAAAGTCTTATTTTTTGTCTACAAGATGTGTTATCATTATTTAAGGGGTGCTGGGTTTCTATTTGGGGAGATGAAAACTTTTGGAAATGGATAGTGGTGATCGTTTCACAACACGATGGATATGATTAATGTCACTGAATTGCACTTAAAGATGATAAAAAATGACAAATTTTTGTTATATGTATTTGGTCACATAAATTTTTAAAAATATAATAGCTGTATATGTAAATTTCATCTAAATATTACTAAAAATTTACCTGCTATCAATTACTTATGTATCCTATCATATAACATGTTGTCAGAAGGGACCATTCCCTGGAGAAGGATACCATGCTTGGTAAGGTCGATGAAAGAGGGGAAGGCCCTCAACGAGATGGATTGAGACAGTGGCTGCAGTGATGAGTTCAAGTATAGCAAGGATCGTGGAGCTGGTGTGGGACCGGTTGGTGTTTTGTTCTGCTGTGCATAGGGTCACTATGAGTCGGAGATGACTTGACAGCACCAAACAACAACAACAGCATCAAGTATACGTATACATCAAGGATATATATGTATATCTTACCCAATCATAAATATTGCTACATTTTACCTGCCATCAGTTACTCAATAGGATATAAATACCTATCAAGTAACTAATGGCAGGTAAAATTTAGTAATATTTAGATAAAATTTATCCTAAAAGAACAAAATATTTATTCTTCACGAAATTGTTACAATTTTTTTTAAAAAAAGTGTTTCCAACTGCTGTGTGTATATATATATGTAGTCTGCTGTTGTTAGTTGTCATCGAGTTGATTCCAACTCATGGTGGCACCATGTGTGCAGGGTCCAACTTTACTCCATAATGTTTTCTTGGCCATGATCTTTTGAACGCGAATCACCAGACCTGTCTTTGGAAGAACTTCTGTGTGGTTTGAGCCATCAACCTTTTGGCTAGTCATGGAGCACTTAAGTTTTGTGCCACCCAGCCATACATGTGGTCTATAAAACTGAAAAAACTCACAGCCATCGAGTTGACTCCAACTCACAGTAACCCTATAGGAGAGAGCAGAATGGCCTCATAAGGTTTCCAAGGTGGTAAAATGTAGTCTGTAGGAGCATTTAATATTCAAATTGATATGGGGCAGTGTCTCCATCAGTAAGAGTCCTCAAGTTCCACAGAAATCTTGAAGTAGCCTCCTGCCCAGTTATCTGATCTATGTAACTCTGAAGTTCATGATGGAGATGGTGGAAGAGGGAAGCAAGTGCATTTATTTTATCATCATCCTTACACTCAATGGGCAGAGTCTAAGTCAGCATCAGGTACAAAATGGAGTGTCATTTCAGCACCATAGGTCTTACAGTTAGTGTATACACGTCTAGCCACTCAGATTACCTGAGTCTTGGTTCTTAGTATTTTGGTCTATCTGGTGTTTGCTACTGTCATTTGTTTTTACTTTTTTAAATTTTTCTAAAATCTTTTAATGGGAAATTGGAAAATTTCAGAGTTATAGCCAGATGCAGTCTTGAAACTGAAGCCACAAAGGCGTTTTAGGAACAAAGCAGGGACTTGGGATGGAGAAGGATACTTGTTATTCATATTATTTTAAAAAAGATACTCATGTTTTGATATTTCAGTGAAATATATGAGGGTGGAAAGTAGTATACTCTTTTAGAGAATCAAGTTAACAATACATACCTAGAATGTAAACGAGTATATACCCCTTAACATATACGTCAAGTTTATGAATTAGGCATTAGAAAATAAAAGATGAACACAAAGATCTGCACGAGTCAATGGGGCATCAGGTCAGTAATTTATTGCTCAGTGGTTCAGTGAACAAAGGGTTTTTTATCAACTGTTTATAAGCTGTATGATTATGCGCAGATTATCTCTTCTCTCTACCTCCACATCTTCATCTGTACTCTGGGGATGATAGCATCTATCTCTTAGCATTGTGGTGAAGTTAAATGAGATAGTGAATGTAAATTGCTTATTTAGAATATAGTTAAAGTTGGCTATTTTAAATGCTTTTGCATATTACTAAGGAGCTCTGGTGATGCAGAAGTTAAAGCATTCAACTACTAACCAAAAGGTTGATAGTTCAAACCCACCAGCCACTCTGCAGGAGAAAGATGAAGCAGTCTGCTTCTGTAAAGATTTACAGCTTTGGAAACCCTATGGGGCGGTTCAACTTCACAGAATCACTATGAACTGGAATCAACTCAATGGCAGTGGGTTTAGTTTCTGGGAATTTATATATCACCAACAACTTTGGCATGAATATTAGAGTTACTGACATTTATTTTTCATTCCCTCTCCTACTTTGGGCCTCTTTTAGTCTACCTTTCCTTCTGCCCTAGCCTTGGTCTCTTTTCCATCTCAACTCTTGTCTCTCTAACACAAAGCTTCACACTTAGAAAGCACTGAGTTTGAAGTCAGATGATGTGTGTTATATCCTTGCATGATTATACTATCTTAACCAATAGAAAAATTTTATTTGAAAGGTAAAGGTACAAAAATAACATAAAAATTTTATTTTTACAGATTCCGTAAGGCAGATTTTTTTCCATTAAAATGGAAATTGACAATTTACCCTAAAATATCACTGAGGCTGAATGAGATTCTATTTTAGTAAATGTGGAGCTAAAACACAGTATTCTCTTCCTCTTCACCATTCATGAAATAAAATGTGCAAAATATGCATAAAGAATTCATGTGCATAACTCAAGTCATCTTTTACCAACACTTATACATACATATTTGTTATGCTTGGATGTTAACCTGGCATGTTAATATTGTTAATAATTAAAACATTTATTTTCCCATAGAATTTCTAGCAAATGTGACAACTTTACAAATAGTAAACAGTGAAAAATTCTTAACTAAAGATTGACTCTTTGTTTCCTAGTTAGTTTTTTTCACATTGACCCTGATTCTGCTATTTTCCAAATGTCAACCTCATCATCTTGACTTTACCTGTAACCTTCAAAGAAAAGCAACTTTATCTAAATTTAAGTTGCATAATTTAGGTTGTCTAGGTTGTATGTGTGTGGGTATATTGTTTCTATTGTTAGTGATGTTTTGTGGGACTTGGGAAAACAAGAGTGTGATTGAATATCTTTCGTTTCAACAAAGACATCCTGCATCTTCAGCATTTCGTGACCCTTAACTTGAAGTTAAAAGTTAAAAAATTAAAGGTTAAAGTGCTAAATCCGGCAAAACTATTTAAGAAGTGCTCTTATACAGAGCACCATAAAATTTCCCTTTAAGCAAGTAGTATCTAATTTCAGATAGTCTTTTTTAATCTTCTGTATTGTAAATCCCAGTAAGTTGAAAGCCAGTGCATTTGGGCTTTACTGCATTAGATTAAAGGAGAAAAACTGTAAGCATTCCTTAGTGGGAAGCATTTTAAAAATATATGCATCATTTAATTCCTAAGTATAAATCAAAGTACAAATTTATCTTAATATAAATCCTAAAAAGGAAAAGAAAGCTTACTTTGCTTTGCTAGGAACTGTAATAAGAATTCTTATAAATATAAAAGTTTTTTGTTTTTTTTTTCCAAAATATGTCTGATTACTCTGATTATAGGCAACAGGTTCAAGATTTGGTGCCATAACACAAAATGCAACCTGCATGGGACTCTCAGTTATCATTTCCTTCATCTACGGATGGGAGATGACACTCTTGATTCTGATTATTGCTCCAGTACTTGCTCTGACAGGAATAATTGAAACTGCAGCACTGACTGGATTTGCCAACAAGGATAAGCAAGAACTTAAGCGTGCTGGAAAGGTAAAACAAAGACAATTGTTTCCATCATACACATTTTAAGAGAAAACTAATCAGAGCTCCCATCTTTATGATACATTGATTTCATCCCTTAGGAATCTGTCAAGTGATGTATATATATTGTAAAGGTATACAGAGCAGGTTAGGATGGTGTGTGGATATGGTACAGTGATTTAGAATATGGGCTCTGGAGTTAGACTGGTTGACTTAGAATCCAGATTCTATTGCTAGTATGTGTATAATATAGGCAAGTTATTTAAACTTTTCTGGACATCACTTTCCTCATCTGTAAAGTAGTATCCTCTTAAAAATAATAGCATTAGTTCATAGATTTTTGTGAGGAGTAACCAAAATGCTTAAAATTATTATATACAAAACACTTAAATAACATCTGGATGACCATTAAAAAAATTGATAATAATTAAACAAATCTATTGCCATCAGATCAATTCCAATTCATGATGACTCCATGTGTTATAGAATAGAACTGCTCCATAGAGTTTTCTCGACTGTAATCTTTACAGAAGCCAATCTCCCAACCTTACTTCCATGTCGTTGCTGAGTAGGTTTGAACTGCCAACCATTAGGTTAGTAGTTGAGCATAAACTATTTATGCCACCCCTGGACCTTAGGAAGACACCCAATAATGTAAGCACTCAAAAATGTCAAACAATATTACTGTACTATATGATGGGAGACTTTGCTAATCTCATGATTCCTCATCCTCTGATTGCTGAGTAATTAAATTTGCCTGAACAATTCATTCTGCTGAGTATTTTATTTTTTTCAAAATAAATGGAGAATGAAGTTACTGAATAAAAGGCAAAGCACTGATATAGAAAGTGCCTAAAACAAGGCTTTAGAGACAGGACAATTTTTATACTGCTCAAAATGAACAGTGAGATTATTTTAAAAATTCCTTGATGTATTTAAGATTCCCTGGATCAAACATATTTATGAAAATAATTGTTATATAAGAGATGTAAGGAAAAATTTGTCTTGTGAAATCATAAGGTCTAAGAATTAAAGGTCCAATATTTTGTCCAAAGTAGAAATCCCTGTACAATATCCCAAGTGGCCACCCATCCACTCATCATCCATCATCTTCCCATCCAGGGGCAGGCAAAGCATTACCTACTCTTAGATAGCTATGGATGGTGGGTAGTTATTTTTCTCTTTTTCATGTTTTTTCTTTTGGTAGCCTTCTATCCTAAGTTTCTTGGGTTTAATCTTGGTGGAGATTCAAAACAGTTTCTCAAGACAGCCCTTCAGGAGCCTCATCATGTAAATTCTGAGTCTTCTCAGAACCATGTTTCCCAGGTCTTTGAGAAGTCCCTTTCATGATACAGTTTCAAGGATCTTTGCAACATTGGTGAACATCCTTCTGGGTAAAAGAATGGTTTTGATATCTTTTATGGTCTGTGTCACAGTGACTCTATCATTGCTAGCACATTATAAATATTTATTATGAATATTCATGAATAGAGATTGTAAGCATGCATGACTTACTGTAATCTGGTTTGCCTAACCTTTGGACCTTTTCACATTTCTTTTGCTTAGATAAGAACCCTTGGAATGTCTGCTTCTACCATGCAGACTGAACTACTGAATAAATACTTGCCTCTGAGAAGTAAAAAGGTTGTTTAGGCCTCTCCCTATGCAAATTATCAAAATTTCTACATTAATGGAAACTCAACTAATAATGTTTTACTCATCCTATTTTTATGAGTCGGGTCTGACCTGATGGCACATAACAACACAACAACAATTTTTATGTCATAAATTTGAGCTGTGTATGTGCCCTTTAACCTAAGAAACACCTGGTTGTTTTGGTTTTTGGTGGCTTTGTTTCTTTGTTTTGTATTATTAATTTCACATTATCCAAACAGCAGTAACTATAATCAAATAAGCTATCTGAGTCATTTTCCTATAGTTTTAATCAAATTTCAATTTACCAAACACCAATTTAGTATATAGACCAATAGGATATATTGGTCCTTCTCTGGTTGTCTGTGTATTTTCGGAAAAATCAACAAATATTTTATTTTTCATACTTAAAATGCTCACACTAGTAAAAATGATTGTTTCCTAAGATTGTACTATGGTATTAGTCATTTCTCTGTTTTGAACAATAATCACAAAATTGTTTTTGTTCTTTTTCTTTTTCTCAAAAATTCTTCAGCGTTCTTGTCCATTTTCCTCAAATGTCACAGAAAATATTACAAATCAAAGTGTCCTTGAGTTAATCTGGGACTTAAAGAGAATTTAGACAAACTCAACATCAAAATTGAGAGCAGAATCCTGATGTTGTGAACTCAGTTCAGAAATCCAGTTCTCTGCTATTTCCCCTTCAAATAATGTGTCAAGATTTGTTCCATTCTGTCCCACAATCGACTCTGCCAGGCTGGAAACAGAATGTGAAAACAGGAAATCTCTCTCTCTCAAGCCAATATGTGTTCTCATGTCCAAGAAGTTTATTCTAAGCCAAAAATCTTTTGAGTCCTCCATGTTGAGTCTCATGTAGTTACTCATTCTTTTTGGAAACTATATGAACATTGAGAAACATTAACCATAAGTGACTTAAATATCTTTTTAAATTCAAATATATCAAATAGAGAAATGGCTCTATCTTTTTTTTTTAATTGCCATGTCTTTTTTTATTTTATTTTATTTATTGTGATTTGGGTGAAGATTTACAGAGTGAATTCACTTTCCATACAGCAGTTCACATATACTTTGTCTCATGTCATTGACCACAGTTTACAATGCAACAGCTCCCTTCCCAC